GCCCCCGCCTCTTCCTCCCTCTGCTGCCGCGTATGGCGGCTGCTCCTCACCTCGCTCTTGCTCTCGCTCACTCCTCCGGTCTCCTTCTCTCACCCACCCCGCTGCCTCGGCAGGGCCGCTTTTTGTTTCCTCTGGGAGGCATCCTCCGCCCCCGCTGCTCTGCCGCAGCCGGATAAACACCCGGCTAATCACCCGCGACGGCGTCCTCTGCGTACATGCCTCCCCCGGCCTTTCCGTACCTGCAGGAGGTGAGTAGGACTCCTTGCTGCCCCGGGGTTCCTTCGCGTCCCAGCTCCCCTGGGACAGTATTCACAAAGGAAAGCCAATGATTCTTACTGCAGCTGTTCTGCTCTTCCTCACTGTTTACAAAGCAGACGCAGTACTAACTTACTAAATTTACTCTCAGGCACATGGGTGCAACTCTCTGTGCGGGCCGGGAGCGACCCGAGCCCTTTTCGCACTGCACGCGGGCTGTGGCCTGCAGCCCGGGCACGCCGGGGCGGAGAGGGAAGGCCTTCGAGCTAGAATTAGGCACGGACGCATAGCGGTAGTTTAAAAGATTGTTTACTTACACCGAGATGGCAGTGGTGCAGGCTGGAAAGCTTGATTAAGTTGCAGTTACAGACAAACAACACAGACGGTCTCGTGGAGGTTGCTAGGCTCCACGGTGCAGAGCTCCGGATGCTCTGGGTGAACGAGCCACCAAAATAGAAATCGTAAGTACGTCTTATAAAAGTTGCATTCGAAGACGGGAAGAGGTGGGCGGTGGATCAGGCCGCCACGCTCCTCTGGATCTCACACAGGGTTTCTGTTACCCTGCCGTGTACCCAGAGTCCCCACGAGATGGATGTGGAGTCCTCTTCGGCTTGGGCGGAAACTGCTCAAGCCTTTTGTACGGCTAACAGGCCAATCACTAGCCGCCACGTGTGAATAATTTAGCACTAGCCAATCATGGGGAACGAATCTGCATACCGGTGGCGGGAACTCTTTTGCACCGTGCATTCCTCTTGCAACATGAGCAATGCACCCTGCAAAAGAAGCTGCAGAAAAGGCGGGAAACTGGTCCCTGCACCGGGGTTTCCTCTGCAACAGGAAACTCTCCCGTGCAATGCTCTGCAACTTGACGGGGATAATTCTGGTGCCGAAGCACACACACACAATCATGCCTTTTGGGTCATGACACTCTCAATGAACATGATCTTCCACTCAGTTGTCTTGGCCAAGTTCATTTGTGACTTAAGCGGCACGGGTTTCACACTAAGCTACTCTGCCCTGCTGTATACTTCCATAAGCAATGTTATTCCATTTTTACTCAGATGTAAGAATTCATGCCATATTTTTATGTTACTTATACCGGTTAATTCCTGTGGAGTTACTACAGGTTCACTCCGGTGGAAACAAGATCAGAACCAGGATCACTGACTTGAGTGTCAGCTCTTTGTATCCAAAGAAAACTTATTTCCCCAAATCAGTGGATTAGCTTGAAAGAATGGGACGTAAATACAGATGTATATTTGGAGTTTTTTGTTATTTGCCTTCATGTATTTGAGTCTTTGGGGTGTCACTGGGATACATTTTCAAGGTTTTCTCTACAACTCTGATGGCTAGAAGCAATTTTTTTTAACAAAAGCTACAATCCCTTCTAATAGCATGCCTAAAGGAGCTGCAGCATTAAGAAAATCATCAAGGATCGAGGGATCTGTGATATAATCATGAGAGCTGGCAATGCTACATTGGCTTTGTGGATGAGTGCAGAAGCAAGACAGAAAATTGGATGTCAGCACAGTAAGCAAAACCTAGAAGTAATCCAGCTCAAAAGTACTTCACTTTCCTCTTTCATTTATAAAGAAAGGCACAGAATGAATAAGGCTTCCAGGTTCCAGTGGACCAGTAAATAATTAGGGGTCTTACAAAAACCACTTCTTTTGGTACAGAAAATGCAGAAAGGCACAGGCCCAAGCTCTCTGCTGATGTAAATGGTTGCAGCCTCATTTGAATCCAATGGCTCTATTGAAACCACTGGACCTGCACCAATTTGCATGAGCAGCCGTTTAAGCCTGAAATCATATTTGCAGAGCACACCAGGGCATTCAAACAGGCTTGCTCCTACTTCTAACCAAGCAAAGGATGACGGAATAAAATGTAACCTCAGCCAAGCTGTGTGCGCTCTGGAGAGAAGGGTTTCAGCTGCACCTGTGCATTTGATGACTCAGCGGTTCTGGCCAAAACCTGAAGGGGAACAAGGTCAGGACAGCTGTTTTGTTTTGTTTTCTCAAAGGTTTTCTCTATGCAAACATGGCCTCCCACCAAAACAATAATGTTTTTACCAAGTGGACAAAGTTAAATAATTAATCTGGCATTTTGTCCAGAGTCTGATCTCCTGCTCTGAGTCATGCGCTGTGCATCCCGGGGAGAGGGCTGAGCAAGAAGGCACCCTCACTTGTCTTGGACTGCTGCAAACAGGCCAGACAGCGACAACCACCCCACACACAGTGCGAGCTTGCCTCTTACCCTAAAGGGCAGGCAGCAAGTACTGCCGCACCCATCATTGCTTTAATAGGCTCCTGTCCTTAGTGCACTGGTCCACACCCTCTTCTGGGCAACACTATTGAGTGAGTAGCACACCAGAGGCAACATTGTGAACTACTCTCCCTATGAACCTCAGTATGAGACCCTGAGCAGCCCTGAACCATCTTGCAGGTAACTCATTGCTCACAAGCTATATGTTGAAGGCTGGGCAAGAACCCATATTTAACCACGTATAAAAATAATCAAAGACATGACATTGAGAAAAGAAAGACAACCAGAGGCCTGCTTAGCTTTGCCAGCATGGCTTGGTCACTCAGGGTTTCTTTAGAGGTTAATCAAATGGTCACACTTTGTAAACAGGCATGATCCCCCTGGGATGGAGATGTACTTTGGAGCAGACACACAGGCAGTCATACAGCCATGGTAGGTTCAGAAAAATAGAGGGGGCCCTATGTGCTACAGAAGGATTCAACCCAAGTGAAGGTAATGGCATATCTAGCAGCTTCCTATAATTATGGATTGTATCAGAAGAGGGCAGTATAAGTTTAATCAGGAGTTCTTGCTCACCCAGAGCTCCTTTGCACCCCCACAGCTTAACCTGGAAAAGCTGTCTCCTCTTTATGCTGCTGTATTTCTTCTCCCTTTCTACACACACCCTTCTACACACACCCTTGGGTTACTACTCCTAGGAGTGATTTTAGCAATGAGACTGTGATTATTTAGATCAGATCCAAATGTGCCCTACTGGACATACTGCATTGCATCCCAATGAAATCATAGAGCTAGATCTTCAAGGAGAAGCTGGGCATCACAATGGCGGGCATGGCAGCATTTAAATTGCAGGCACCTGGCTGCAAATAGAATTCACAAAATCCAAGTTTGACCCCAAAGCTCCTAGTATGGTGAGTGGGGAAAGTTGTGTGGCTGAGAATGGGATCTACAACAGCCAGCGTGCCAAAAGGATAGTCACCTACAATGGCCAACACAAAAGCTAAAAAGGGACTGCAACTTAAGCCTATCTCCATCTCCTCTTTATAACCAAGGCATCTTGCTTTGGTTGTACTGAGGAGCCTTCCTCAAACTAGGATTCACAGAATTAAGCATCTAGCCCCCTACCCCCCACCCTTTTTTTTTTCAAATCATGACTGGAGGAGGAGAACCCCATCCCCTTTTATCTGATAGTTCAGTAGTTAAAACATGAACCCAAGATGTGTGAAACCTGGGTTCAGTTCCCTCTTCTGTCTTGTGGATCTGTATATAACTATCCCTTTGCTTAAAGTTGTGCGTGTGTGAGCCTTTGCAGAATTGGGGCCTTTGGCCTTACATGAGACTTAAATGATGCATAACACCTTGTTCAGACCCTGCGGACCCAGGTGAACTCACTCCTTATTAGTACAGATGGAGAGGAGATTATGCCAGAGGAGCCTCTGTCTGTGATTCTGGCATCACTTTGAAACAAATGGAGATAAATCCACAATGCACTGTGGAGCAGAGTCCCTTGGTGGAGTGTTTAGATTGCTCAGCAGCCAAAGCAAATACGTTTCCGCAGCAGGTTATAGAAGGCTGTTAATCCAGCCATGCAACCAGTTCCTTTGAGCTGAAAAATGGTCTTCTTTCTTTGTATTCAAGCCTGTCAGCTACCATGACCCTGGTAAAGTTCACTGATTTCCAAGTCTTCACTTAAGGAGCTACATTATAAATAAGAGGGAGGGTGATTTTTTTAAAGTATTAGAAAAATATTAAATCACTGCAACTCTGACTCATCTTTTTCATCAGTTTCCCTTCTACTTGTTTTTCCTTTTTTATATCTTCTCAAACACATTGGCACAGCTCCTTGTGTGGTGCACATGGGCACAGTTCCTTTACTTTCTAAGTGTCATAGCTCACTGCTGAGGTTGCTAGGACCCCAGAGACCAGTTGAAGATTTCCCCCAGCTCCTGGACAAAGCCATCACTAGTCTGAGGACTTGCTCAGAAACCGGGCCCATGTTCTCCCAGAAGGTTTGGAAAAATCCAACAAATCCTTCAAGGAACTTTGGTTAAACTGAAAGTTTGGGTGGGCAACTGCAACTGGGCTCATTGTTTGGACTGCAGATTTTACAAACTGCAGTTTTGTGTAGCTACCTATAGGAAAAAGCAAGATGTCTTTCCAAACCACCATGCTCAGGCTCAGGGGAACTAGGTTCAGTTCCCTCATCTGTCACAAACGCCCCATGTGAGCATAGGCAAATCATGTAGTTTCTCTGGGCCTCAACTCCCCAGAGGTAAAACAGAGATAATGCTACTTTCTTGTCTGTGTCATCTAGATCGGAAGCTCTTTGGGACAGCAGCTGACTTGCTGTAGCTTGCACACCACCTTATATGAGGAGGGCTCTAGTTGTTGCTAACCCAGACAGCTCTTTGCCTTCACTTCTGACAGAGGAGACTGACCATTTTCTCTCTGGGTTTCTAACAGCAGAAGTCAGAGTGGCTACAGTCCTATGTTTGCTCAGTTCTGTAAGTCAGCCCTGTAAAGCCCAGGAACTGGGGAAAACTTCCTTCAGGCCTCTGTAGCTCATTTCCAGCCCTCATACCTGCAGCCTTTAACAGCCTGAGTAGTAACTAGACTTGGCTCCCTTTTATTAACAGCTCTGCTTGGCATAGACTAGAGTCCTAGAGCCCACACGAAATTTCTGCCTGGAATAGCTCACTGCTCTATCCCAAGAGCAGTGCCTTCGCAGACTCATCCCCCAAGAGCTGATCGAGTGAACATGGTAAGGATTGATTTTGTAACTGAAAAGCACATTCACAAATCACATCTCCTCTGCTTTCTATGCAACATTAACTGCAGAGTCTAGGGAGTGTCATACTGAAGCAGTAGAGAGCACAGCTCCATTCGCTGCTCACAGCACTTCCCTCTGACAGACATAGCATCAAAGCAGGCAGCACCTTAGCTTTGTGTCCCATGACATTGTGTTCCCAGCTCCTCCCGTATCACCACAAGCAGTAAGATGCTATTGAAAGCAATGGGACTGCTCAAGTTAGCAAGCCCTGCATGCTGCAGTGAGAGTTTGCAGGATCACTCTTCTAGTCCATGACTTCCCCCAGTAGAAATTTCTTCTTAGAGCTCATTTAGCACACCAGGCTCTCTTTTATCTAATACCTCTATGTCAGTGACCCTGGAGTCACCGAAGATGGTGGGTATCAATGTCTTCCCTTGTAAACATGTGTAGGAAGTCTCCATTCATCACTCCCATTCCCCCTTCTATTCTTGTGCATGTCTTTTGACAGCCCATTTTCTGTTGTTCTGCCTTCCTCCTGTCTGCATCTCACTGCCAATGACAGCAAGAAAGCGTTGCGGGATGAAATACCACTGGAGATGCAGCTGAAGATAATTCATGTATTCTGTGGTTTGTGTCTTTCTATACCTGCCTGTAAGAGGAATGGTGCCTTGAAGAGGGAATCAGACATGCTTTGCTCTGTCACATTAAGAGATGCTTCAAGTAGTTGATTCCCTGGCCTTTCTGGCACTGCCCGGAGGCAAGGCAGAACAAAGGAGGCATTTCTCTTGGCTGGCTCCTCTCAGAGCACCATCTCCTTGAGAGGCAGGGCCATGGCCACACCCAGCCTCTCCACAACAGGGAAGAGAAGGCAGGCTGCATCCTTCATAATGGTACCAGAACTGAGTCTCAAAGCTAAGTTCTGTCACAGTTCACTTCTACGTCCTCTCTGCTCTTCTCCTCTGTGGACTGCAGCTGAAAACCATAAGTTGTCAGTGTAGAATCACAGACATGTACAGAGGCAGAGCCAAGATGATAAGGCAAGAGCTCTCAGCTTCCTGCCTTTTTTTCCATCCATTTCATAGATTCATGGATTGTAAGGCCAGAAGGGACCTTGGAAGATCATTAGGTCCAGCCCCCTGCACCAAGCAGGGAAGATAACTGGGAGTCAGGTGACCCCAGCAAGGTAAATGTCTAGTTTCCTCTTGAAGATTTCTGGTTTTCTGGAAGGGTGTTTTATCAATGCTGTTTCTCTGAGTTGTGCTCACCAAGGACCTTTGGCCATATGATGCTCATAAACCAGGTCTGAATACTTCCGCTGACATCAGCGGAGATCCTGCAGCCAATGGAGGGCAGTGGGTGGTGCAGTGTACTGCAAGAGTTGCACTATGGTAAGCCAATTGCAACATAAATAGCGATGCACGAGCTGCTTTGATAACAGCGTGTCTGGAGAACCATTAAGTGATATCAGTCTCTTTATCTTCAAATGATTGGTGCTACTAGCAAGTCAAGTTTGACCTGTAGCCCCACCCCAGTCCTAGTGCTGTCAACGCTCAGCAACAAATTGTTATTATTTGTGTTACCATAAACTCCAAACATAACCAAACCTCTCTTGTGCAAGATGTTATACAAACAGATTAAATGAACAGTCCCTGCTCCAAAGAAGTCACAGGAAAAATAATGTTCTTTCATCACTGTTAGCAATTTGCATGTAGCACAGGTGCCAATTATAGCAAACCCTGCAACTACAAATAAATAGTTTGAGTAGTTGGGCACCCTATATATTCGTATAAGCAGTCTCTGTGCCATATGTTGCTGTAATACTAGCCTCTTTTGGTGTAAGCCAAATTTCCATCAACAAACTAAGACTTAAGACTAAGTACAGACAGGCAAAAAGCCCAGCACTGAATCGATTCAATTTTCATAGGTTAGTCTAAGCTGCTGGAAATGCAGCTACATGCCTGCTGTGACCCAGGCCAGAAGCCAGGGGGCACTAGAGCATGCCTTCCTGCTGGACTGGAGAAGACAGCTTGGGCCAAGGCTAGCCCACCTGCCCTGCAAAGCATCCTGGGATGCTGGGGGACTGTGAGTTAACTTAAATCTGGAGGGGATCTGGGACAGAAGTTCAATACACTGTTTTAATCCAAATCAGTAAAATCTGATACTATACTCATCCAGGTTTATCTTAAACCAGTTTTGGCCATTTTGAAAGCAGTTTATGTGCACTGAATTTCTGTTGTGTTACAGATTTGAACTGGTTTCCGATCACTTATACTGGTTTATGTGTAATTTCTATCCCAAGCCTAAAGGTTGACTAACATGCATGGAAAATCCTGATTGGTGCAGTCATGCACCAGTGCCATCATAATAGATTAAATATTTTCCCAAAGCAGATTGTGAATCTTGGGTGCTCACTGCCACATGCTTTCACTGATATTAAATGGTTGGCAAGATTCTAAAAGAGTTTCCATGTTTGTACAGAAAAACACTGGGGTTCACATTAGGGATAAAAATGCATGAGGGTTTGAATTTGCCCAGCTTCAAGCCATACACTGACCTCTACTTGAAACTTCCTCTCTGTGTAAGTGACTTTGTAGTTGTTCGGTTTCTTTCCTCTTCCTTTGAAGTTTCTGGTTCCTGTGAAAGAGAGATGATGAGAAGGACCAGTATTCTCCTTGGATGTGATCCTAGGGTAAGACAAGCTCATGGTAAAAATTTCAAGAACTTTTTTGCGCCCTTTGATAGTTGATGCAAACAAACTGCAACTACTGCCCTGCAACAAACAATATTTACCAATTATTATTTATTTGTGAATTTTTTCACTAACATCACAGCCATGCTTAAGAGTCCCCATCTTTGATGTCTGAAATTGCTTATCCACTTGAGAATGCCTGGAAAAGAACTGTATACAATGTCACCATCTAGGTCAATGGAGTCTTTCTGGGATTCCTATCCATTATTTTGACAGCAACAAGGCTAAATTAAGCTTTCCACTCTTTCAGTTTTAGTGGTCAAATATCTACCAAGTGCTCAGCCATGATTCCTTAGCTTGTGTTTAAGGCAACCAGGATTCCCAAGTGGTCTCATATTCACATATTAGCCAGACTCAGGCTTCTGAGATCAGACAAGATCAGGCACATTCAATTTGGCATAGACCAAAGATGTGTGTTGGCCTCTAGTGCCAAAGTGTAGATTTAAAGTTAAACTTGAAGCTTCTTAAAAGAGAAAAAATAAAAATGAAGGAATGTAAAGCCCACTAAAAGTAACCCTGTTATGGTTCATTGTCAAAGAGACCTGCCTGTAATTTAAATGCTAATCCAGTGAAAAATGTCCTCAGCAATCATGAGTGATCCATTTTAGAATTCAAAGGGCCAGATGGTTTTCAGCTGGTGTAATGTAATATAATCTACTGAAAGGAATGGAATTTCATTTTTTATTTCAGTATAGCTACATCACTTTACACCAGTTGAGAACCTGGCCCATAATTCTTGCTTTCAGTGCACTTAGTGCTTGCATGGTGGAGGCCGTGGGTTTATCAAGATAGTGACAAGTGCACTGCATATCCAGTGTCCTGATGCCTCAACCTACTCACACCACTCCTAGGAGTGAATGTGCAATTCAGTTTCCATGGATAATTCAGTGCTGGACTGTTCTGACTAGCCTGCCAAAAAGGTAGCTAATAAATGCTAATTGCGGTGATGCTGAAAGCTCCGTACTGCACCTCACTAAACCTATTTTACATAGGCTACCAAACAGATACCTGGTGGTGGTGCCAAAATCTGGGGCCTTTTGGCCACTGCTGAAATGGAACACTGTCCTGCAAACGAACATGAACGTGAGTAACCTTACTGAGGCAAACAGTCCTATTCAACTCACATCTAAGGGGTAGGCCAGAGTCTAGTTCTCCAAGCCCCAGAAACCATTATAAAGTCAAAATAGCTAAGAGGATTTCAGAAAATTCTTTTACAGCAAGTAAGTGATGAAGAAAATCAGATCAAATAGACAAATGGCCATAGTGATGCTTTCCTATGCCCCAGATGGTTAACACAACAGGGCCAGGTAGGGCAAGCCAGAAATGTGTGGCACTTGAATAGTTTGAAGTTGGCTGTGCTGCCAGATGAGAGTAAGGAGCACTGACTGAGCAGGGTGTGGAAAGATTGTTCTACAGATTAATTCTTTGTATTATTAATTTTATTGTACTGGTTCCTAAAGGGGCCAGCCAAGATCAGGGCCTAGTTGTGCTAGGTGCTGTACAAACACTTAATAAGAGTCAATCCCTGCCTGAAAGAGTTCACACTCTATATTGATACATAAAGAGGTGGAAGGGAAAACAAGATACAGACAGCTGATGTGACTTGCCCACATACACATGGCTGGTCAGTAGCAGAGTTGGGAATTAATATCAATAGGCATCCTCCAAGCTGCACTCTCTTGCCTGCAGCTGGCCTAAGTCCTCAGTTTCAAGACATTCACTTGCAGCCTTTAAGGAACAGGAACCAAGGCAACTTAACTGAAATTGTTCAATACTGCTGAGAAGACATTTAAATGGGAAAACCCCATGGTTTTCAAAAGAGTGAACACTCAGTGGCTGCCTGTTTATGAAGAGAATGACAGGACTCTCCAGCAATCACTGTATATGTTTGTACAAAAGAGGAAAAGAGGAGATTAGCCTAAGTTGTAGATTGAATTTCTTCAGAGGGATGAACAAGAATTGAGAAGTAGCAACATACACCAGAAACATTTATGACAAGGTTAAAGGATCCTCAAATTAACAAGGCAGTAGGTCAAGAGAACGTACATTTGATCCTCCTTAAGGAAGGGCAGACACAGAAAGAGGAGATGCTTTGGCAAGTTCAAGAGAACCCCCAGGAGACCTGAATGCAGGCCACATATCTCAGTAATTCAACGAGGATCAGCAGAAAAGTTTAGAGAAGAAGCACTTTGACACATGCTGCAGGGCAAGGGGGGAGATGCTGCGTGGATTAGGCAACCCAACGGGAAGAAAAATGGCCTGAGCAGAGGGAGCCCCATTTCAAGAAGGCAAAGCTATGCCAAGTAACACACTGTATCTATCCAAATATTTTACGCAAACAAAAGAAAAACCCCGCTGGGATTTTCAGCGTCCACTGTTAATATAGAAAATATCACATATTATGTCTGAAGAGGTAATAAATGAAGGGCAGCCAAAAGCACGAGCTTTTCAAACCAAAAACCAGATCCAAAATATATTAGGCTCAGTTTCTGGTCCAGTGAATGCAGGCACTAGGACCTGGCCTGAGCAGGGGCTAAAAATAGAATACATTTGCCTCTAGGTCACCGGTTGAAGTCTAGGCCCAAATTAATGGTGTCTGATACTTAGTGACCCCAAACCATTTTCTAGCATACAGGTGCCCCCTGCAACAGACCTACCATGGAAATGTAGCACTTCGGTTATTAGAAGCCTAGGGCACAAAACATGTGAGTGGTATTCAGGTGCTCAGTCACCATGGTTTCCATAAACTCCTCAGATTTGGGTTTGAATTCAAGCCCACACAAACAACAATGTTCAGTCAATAGTCAATGCTGTTGAATTAGTTTAGAGGCAAAGGTGACCAAGATATGGCCCGTGGGCCAGACCTGGCCTGTGAATCCTTGTCATCCAGCCTGCAGGGCTCTCCATGGGTCTGAAAATTTGGCAGTATAGCAAGCAGTGGCCATGTTAAATACTGGCACCACTCATCTTATTACTAAATTTCCAGACCTGCGGAGAGCCTTATGGTTGGGATCCAGATGCAAAGCTGTATCATCTGGTCCATGAGGCCAGAGATGTGGCAGCAGGAGGAGCAACAGCTGCTGTAGCACCAGGAACCACATCAATTAATGCTGCTGGAACCAAACTAGAGCCCACAGACAAAATGACATGGCTTTGTGCACTGGATCCTGCTCCCAGGCCAGCCCCATGTCACTCACCTGGCCTGCGGGGCCAGATGAGTTGGACACCACTGGTCTAGGGAATTCATACTGAACTGGGCCCAGATTCCCTCTGAGGAGTCGCACCTTTCTGTTGAACCTGGGCCAAAATCTGGTGAGTTTAACACAGCAGAGTCTAAATGTGTAACAAAAGTTTTTTCAGTCTTGATGGAGGACTCCATCTCTAGTAAGGAAATGGAGCTAGGAGTAGGAGCAGGTCTAAGAGAGGGAGAGGCTGCAGGCAGGATCCTCAGGCTCGATCAGCTCCAAAGTGGAACTCAATCTGCCCCCCTCACCCTCCATCGACCCAACAGGTTGTTGGATCAGAAAGGGCACTCTAACTCATGGCACTTTATGTAAAGCTCTGTGAGATAGAGCAGGCCTGCACGGCTGTCATGCCCTTTCTGAAGGATTTTGGTAATGCAGGGAAGGAGGAGAGGACAAGAAATAATGGGCACAAGCTGAGTGAAGATCGCTTCAGGTTAGACATAAGAAAAAACTTCTTTACAAGTCGAGTGCTGAGGGTTTGGAACAGGCTCTCCCCAGAAGTGGTATGGTCATCCACCCTGGTGATCTTCAAAAATCGTCTGGATGCCTACCTTGCTGGGGACATCTGATCTCAGCAGTCTTTCCTGCCCAAGTGCAGGGGGGGCTGGACCCAATGATCTGTAAGGTCCCTTCCAGCCCCTAACAACTATGAAACTATGAAAAGAAAATAAACAGAATGCTATACCACCCACTAGCTATGCTAAACTTCTTCAAAGGGTAACCAGGCTCCAGCTTAGTGTTATGATATATTGTACTTCAGGACTTAGAGTTGCATTCCTGATATAAGACCCTCTAGAACTCCAAAGATATACAAATACTAGGGCTATTCTAAGATCAAGAACAAGATATTAATATATCTCAGAAGCATGCAACTTGAAGGAGCAGGGGGCAACCTGAATGAAAACAAACACAAACAGAGTGCTCTTCTATTTTGAGGTACAAGTGTGAAATAATGATGTCTGAAATATTCTAATTCTCCTGGATGAGGACCAATTTTAAGTAGGAATTCAGGACAATTTTTGGAAGACAGAGTACCTACTGCTTCTGCTACCACCAAAACCCTTACCAGCACTATCGGTGGAGAGCTCAGTTCAGATCAAATGGAACATTTGCCCAAACTGTTGCACAAATTTTAGTTTTTAAGTTAGGAAAGCCTCACAGACTCCAGGCCAGACCCTCAGGTTATGCGTCTCAAACTGGTGCACGGTTCCATTGAAATCAATGGCATTACGGCCTTCTAATTTTTACCCCTTACTTCCCCAAGTGATTGGTGGAATTCTTTCAAGGCTGCCTGGGATGACCATTATCTCAACTATTTTGTTGGGATTGGGTGCATTCAGTCCAGTCTGGCCATAAAATTTCCTACCTAATGATATAGTGAGACTCCTGGAGGAAAAATATGCTTTTCCCATTTCATTAGTAAATCTTCCTCCTTTGAGGCATCTTGGCCACATGAAGTAATTGCATTCATTGTAGTTTTAGCCACAAGGAAAATTTACATATAGCTTGGGACCATGTGCTATGTAAGAACCTTATGTATGGTTCCTACTTAGATAAAATCTTAGTCAATGGCAATTATAATCAGTGGTCATTTTACCTGGGCCTTGACTGTGGGTCTGAGTCCTTGTCATGTTTCTGAC